CACTCTTCACGCAGGCCAGTAGATCTTAAGGACAAGTGGAGAAACCTCCTCAAGTATGCCTCCTGATCAGGACCAAGTCCTCATGGATTGAAATCTACAACTGAAATATATATACACCACCTTCTTCTTCTTCTCCTTCTCCTTCTTTTCCTTTTTCTCCCTCTTCTTCTTCTTCTTCTCCTCCTCCTCCTCCTCCTCCTCCTCCTCCTCCTCCTCCTTCTTCTTCTTCTTCTTCTTCTTCTTCTTCTTCTTCTTCTTCTTCTTCTTCTTCATTGAACTTCTCCACCCGCTTCGACTCCTCCTCTCCCTCCTTCTTCTTCTTCAACTTCTTCTTCTTCTCTTCTTCTTTTTCATCTTCTTCTTCTTCTTCTTCTTCTTCTTCTTCTTCTTCTTCTTCTTCTTCTTCTTCTTCTTCTTCTTCTTCTTCTTCTTCTTCTTCATCCGCCTCCTCCTCCTCCTCCTCCTTCACCAGCATCACAATCATCCGCATAAAGGTAATGAGGCTGGAAACCCTTACACTTGCTGACATCTTGAAAAAAAAAAAACGAAAGAAAGAAGACTCCAACAGTTTTACTCTTTTCTTGAATTGCGTTGTTCAGGAAATGGCAGGAGGATTTCAAGTTTGAGAAATCCTCCTGCCATGATGGATGTTGGACTCTCTTAGGCATTATTATTATCAGAAATCAGCCAGGAATGGTAGCCATGGCCATAGCAAATGCGCTTCTGGGCGTCGAGGGAGCGCAACGGACATCCATACACTCATCCAGTCATATTACAATGTAACGATCGATACCGTAAGGGCGGTGAACGTGCCTGTGGCTCAATGCAGGATGCAGAGCCCATGGCTGAAAGGCGGATTCAGGAATTCTGGCATAGTCAAGTTATTCCCCTCTCTCTCCCATTTGCTCCACCCTTGGTCCCCCTTATTGTTCTCGAGCACTTCACTTTGGTGGTCTCGAGCACGGCACTTCCTTCTTTCGAAAGATCAGTTGGCAAATAATCCAAGCATTTTTTCATTTTTTTTTTGGCTGCGACGGATTGGTATTCCCAGTCCGCTGAACGACTTCGGCAATTGTCTCGGTCCTGCCGGCGATCGACGGGGAGTCCCGGACTAAGGGAATGCAGTTCAATGAACCAAAGTGACAGTTATGCAGGGACAAACCTGTGGAATTAGATTGGTCTAGTATTTGCCGAAGAAGAAGATTCGTGTAGAAGCAGGTTATGGATTTCTGTGTGTGTGTGTGTGTGTGTGTGTGTGTGTGTGTGTGTGTGTGTGTGTGTGTGTGTGTGTGTGCAAGTTGTATATTTGTTTCACAGTTTCAATCTTTTCTTGGAAGAGTCCTTCCTGTGTATAAGGCCAAGAAAAAGCTCTATATACAGAGGACCCTTTGTGGTAGAAAAAAGGGTCCTCTTCAAAACGGTACCCCTGTAGTTACAAAAAAAAAGGGTGATCCGCGGGCCAGCCCGGTGATCAGGAAGGACATTGTCATTCCTTAACTTCTTTCCATGGTTCCTCTGCTGCATCAGTATCGTATTTAGACCGATGCTATTCGTAATCTTGTCCTTCTCTCTCTCTCTCTCTCTCTCTCTCTCTCTCTCTCTCTCTCTCTCTCT